TTTGGTGCCTATTGAGAGAATGTCCAAGTTTAGATTGATCACCTCCATGAAAGCAACAAATAATTAAAGCATATTGCATTAATCAAAATACTGCACATTTCATCCATAAATGAATAATGCAAAAATGGGAAGGCTAGCTGTTTAAGTTGAACCCATCTATTCATGTACTTACCTTTCTTTTATATCCTCACCCATTAGTACAGTGGTACCTTGGTATTCAACTGCTCTGAAACTCATCAGATTTGGTATTCAATGCATTTTGATGCGAAAATTTTGTCCCAGTTACATTATTCCTTATGGGAAAAAATTATTTGGTACTCATCTTTTTTGATACTTGTCACACCTCCCGGAAGCAATTAATGATGAGTACCAAGGTACCAGTGTATCTGAATTTCAAAACTTAGTCATCATTTGATGAGAAAAATATCATTTTTGATCTCAAAAATTTGTCTCCTTTCCAGCTAGAACAGGAATATTGGGGGAAAATATATCTATTTAAGAAATGGTTTTTTTTTCTTCCTTTCCATCTGTGCCTAGTGCAAATGAAAAACAAGTTTGACCTTTAAAATTTAGCCAAAAAGGAAACCTGATAAATGCAGTGCAGTTCTTCTAAAGGGAGAAATTATTCCTTTTTATATAAAACGTTGGAAACGTGTGGACAAATGTGGCTGAATTTCCCCATTCGACCGTTCAAGTAAAATTCCTCACCATATCACAGCTTAGATGTTGCCTGCCAAACCTGAACTCAAAACCTGCTTTCTCCACATAAAGCTTGAGAATTTGCAGGGGGAAAAAAGAAAATAATGGATCAAAGACAGGTTTATAATAAAACTTCCTTGTCATGAGTCAAATATATTTTTCGGACAAAATCAGCCCTTGAGACAGAGCATTTGGGGGGAGCTTTTGAGATCTAGGATGCCATGGACCTAGATACAGACAATAGATAGATAATAGACAGATAATAGATATAGACAGATATACAGATAATACATATAGAAATAGAGATAATAGATGATTGAATGATATAAATAATAGATATAAATAATATAGAGATAATAGATAAATAAATAATAGATACAGCTACATGGGTAAAGGAGATAATAGATCACAGAGAGGTACATAGATAGATATAGATTCTATCTCTCTCTATCTCTCTATTCTCTATCTATTTATCTATCAATCAATCATGTATCCTTTTTTTAAATAAAAGTAAGAACTTTTATTAAATTAAACTTTTAGTGCACGAAGCAGATAATGTTTCTTTATAAATATATGGTGACCTTTTGAGGATGCTATTTTGATCTTTGAATAGTCAGTATACTTTAAGAATCACAGCGGAGAATTAATCACTGTTGATACAGATAGATGTTTGTGTGTGTATATATATATACACAGAGAGACAGACACACACACACACACAGAGAGACACAAAATTCCTATGACTTAAGATTTCTTCCTATCACTAGATCACATGAGAAACTGCAATAGATGTGTAGATCCCATCAGACAGAGTCCGGTTCTCTATCGGCATCATAATAAAAGGATTATTTTCTCCACTAATCTATTTATGAAAAGGAAACAGTGGATTCCTTTCAGGAGCCATCAATTGCTTTAATAAGGAACTGAAAAGCCTGGCCTACTTTATATGCTGAACATCACCCCAGTTGCATAAGGATTTACAATAGCCAAAAACAAAACTGGTGTTGTTATAAATAAGAGGAATTTGTTGGGAAGGAGGAAAAAGGAACAGAAAAAGAACTTTCCTTAGTTATGTTTGCACCTAAGGAGACAGGGGAAAAAAATATTTTAATGCTCATAAAGATTTATCAGGTTTTCATTCATTAAAACGTCTTGTGTATTCTAAGGGAATCAAAATCTTCCTTAAGACCAGCAAATATGAAGACACACCAAAGCATATGTTCTCCTAGAATAAAACCAAGATGTTATGGAGAATAAAAATGATTGACATTTCTCAGAGAGAAAGGTTTTTAAAAACAATCCAGCTGAAATTAAATGTTTATGCAAAGAGATGTCGTGCAAATATTCTTTGCAATCATTTTGGTAATCAGTTTTGAAGGGTTCGCTAATCCAGGAAGTGCAATTATGTTATGGGGGGGGGGAGAAACTCTAACCAATAAGAGGAAAATATAAAGAAACGTTGTGGAAAATCAACTTATTTATTTAAATAATGGCACGTAGCAAGAGTTGTCCTCCCATCTGTGTCTTTTGATTCATCTTCTTGCTTGGATTCATGCCTGGACCAGAATATTGATGGAGTAGCCATCTCCAACTTGGCGTCCTCCAGATGCCTTGAGATGCAACTTCTATCCTCTTCAATTGACAGCCCCCATTGATGGAAGACATGACGGTAGCTCAACATATCTGAAGCATACCAGATTGATTTGAAGAAAGGAGAAGCCAGTGCATGTTTTTCTAATGTTTCATTACCATCACCACCCCTTTCTCTTTGACGCAATGGGTTTAGGTTGATCTAAAAAGCAAGTATCTGATTGGTTGGTCCTTCATCCAATGGGTGTCAGTATGTCACAATTAGTGATCCATACTCATGGAAGTTTAGAAGGAGGCCAAACAGTGGAATACCCACAACTGTACAGAGGTGGTTGGCAAAACTACATTTTATTCTCCGGGGCAATATTTGCAGTGCTAATGATAGCAATAGCAATAGCACTCAAAGTTATGTACAGTGCTTTACAGCCCTCTCTAAGCGGTTTACAGAGTCAGCATATTTGCCCCCGACAATCTGGGTCCTCGTTTTACCGACCTCGGAAGGATGGAAGACTGAGTCAACCTTGAGCTGGTCAGGATCGAACTCCTGGAGTGAGCAGCGAGTTAGCCTGCAGTACTGCATTCTAACCACTGCACCACCATGGCTAATGATGACAAGGCAGCTGGATTATTTACTTATTTATTTGCTTACTGATTGGGTTACTTGAATTAATTTGCACCCCTGCTTAAATGAATCTCAAATGTCCATGGGAGTACTCAGAACACCCTGAGCTTTTCACAACAAGTGAAACTTGGTTGACAAGATCCATGAATGTCCCCATTTTATCAGAGTTTCACGCTGCTTGTGATTCCTGGTTGACTCTCCAAACTAAGAGTTCATTCATAAACCAGAAATGGTCATAAACTCTTCTGGAACTAGCGGGGGCTGACTAGAGCTTTGTGTAGGTTACAAGTCCTGCTTTTTTGGATACTAAAAATTTGTAGTTCCTTCAGTTTTAGATGATATTCTAAGCCAGTGGTTCTCTTTTCCTCACCACAGACCCCCTTTAAATACCTTTTGTGGCCATGAACCACCAAGACTTAACTCAAGATTGAAATCATAACATTTCTTCAAGCCTTCACCAACCCCCTATGATGACATCATGACCCCTGCCCATGGACCACAGGTTGAGAACCCCTGTTCTAAGCCGTAACGTATGATGAACAATACAAGGATAAAAGGGTGCCCAAGAGAATGCCTTTAGGAATAGTTCAATATGAAAACCAATGAGACTTCAAAAATGCGTAGTTGAGACTGGATCTGACTTAGTAGCTTCTTGGGCCAAATTTAGAATTCACAAAAGACCCTTATATTTTTACAGTATAGTTGTATACAAGCCCTTACAATTGTTCCCCCCTTATAGATGGGAAAATTCACACTGGTTTGATGTGATCTCTATAAACAAACATTACATCTGGAATTTAAAAAAAATAATGTTTTCTCCATGTCATGTTATTCAATATATATACATACAATATATATACACAAACATACAGACACATGGAGATATTCATATGTCTGTCTGTGTATATTTGTGGCTATGTGTGTGTATGTGTGTGCGTGTGTGTACACGCACACTCATACACACATATTCCTCAAATACTGGAAATCGAAACTCTTGGCTTTAAATGTATAAAAATATCTAATTTTAATGCAGAAAAAATATATTACAAGTAATGTTCTCTTAATTAGGCAAATGATCTGAAAAACACTGAACATTATAACGGTGTTAGGAGCTGCAGCATAACAAATACGGGATGCCTCTGGATCAGGTGATGTAGATTTTGTGTTAATTTCTTTCCTTTTTTTAAATTAAAGAACTATCACTCCCAAGTGAGGAAGCTGGATACCTCAATCCGCTGCTAAATTCTTAAGTCATTTTTGAAATGTTTGTAAAATCAGGCCAGAAATAAAACTGGGATAAAGAATTTTTTTTTTACAGTCCAGTCCATTAAAAACTTTAGAAATAAACTCTCTTACATGGGATTTTGCTTGCCAATTAAGCAATTACCCCTTGTCACAGAGAAGGGCTGAGATCCAGTTTACACGCCTCCCCTTATTAAAAAATAAAATACAATTACCTTCAGAGCATGATGTGATGGTTATTTAAAGTGCAAAGACACCTTAACGCACACATGCAGATGTGACGCCCAGTGCTTGTACTTGACCATTGAAAAAGCTGTACTGTCAATATTTTTATTTACAAAATAAAATAAAATAAGGGAGGGAGGGAAAGAGAAAGACACTTTCTAATCTAGTGAAGGAATGACAGAACATCCGTTTCAGACGTTATTTTTCCATCTCAATTCTGTGGATGTGGCCACGGGTGTCGCGAGAACTTTTTCATATCGTCTCTTCATCTTTTTTCCCCGCCCCCCGAAATAACCCAATGTAAATGCTCCAAGAATAAACATTCATTCAGTTCTTAAAAAGGCTGAACAGGGGGGAAAAGGAGGAAGGATATGCAAAATCATAACAATAGTAATAATTATAATAACTTAAAGGGAGTTTAGTAGAAGACGCCCCATCCAAAACCTGGCTTGGTCTGAAAAATGTCTTCATTGATGATGGGGGGGGGGAAAGAAATATTATTCTTATTCTGTGACCAATTTTCATTGGATGGCTTCAGTTCATTGCTCTTTTGAAAGACTTTCCCCACCCCATCCAATGCAACCCTCCCGTCCCTCCCCCAGGCCTCCCCCCACTCCCTATTTCACAGCTGACTAATGGCCGTTTGTTTTTCCAACACTTCGAGGTAGTCCGGTTCGGCCTGCAACTTTCCCTGCAGCAAAGGGAGATCAGGCTTGGACAGTTCCGTAAAATACTTCCTCGGAGTCCCGTACAAAACCGTTTTATTGAGCCTGTCTTGGTTTTGTCGCCTGGACTCGTAGGAAGGGGCAAACTGCCTTTTGGGGAGGGTGCAAAAATTATACTGGACCATGCTTCCACTGGGCAGTTCCTTCACCCTCTCCACGAGGTTTTGGTACAAGAGTTCAGGCTCCCTGGAAAAGGACTGCTTCTCCAGCATGTCTGCTGCTGTGATGGTGAAGGCAAAGCTGGTGGAGTCGTCCTTCTTCGGCTCGAGGTTGCTGTAGCTAAATTCGTGGAGATTCCGGTAGTAAGCCACGGGGTCTCCTTCCTTCTGCATGTAGATAGGATTCTGGCACATCTCTCCAACGGGAGGAGGGATGTAATTATAGACATGCCCTTCAGCTTTCTCGTGGGCCTCGCTGTTGTAGCACCCGTACTGCAGTTGGAAGGAACTGACGTCAAGGTTGTTGGCACTGCTGGGCACACTTGGCAGCCCCTTACGCCGTTTGAGAACAAAGACGAACAGCCCGGCCCCAAAGCAGACCGACAAGATAAACACAACCAGAAGGCCCAAAATTAAGACAGAGAGAGGGACTTCCGTCTGCATTTCTGGAAAGGCGCTGGGGAAGACACTGAAGGCTGATGGCATATCAGTGTTCAGATTGAGGGACAAGAGAGGAGAATCTAAGAGATTGGGGTTCTCGGGGCAGATGGCTTCTTTGCTCAAGGTCTTGAGATGTTCTCCAGCATGCTTGGCAGGAGAGTCACAGATCACTTCGTTGATTACCACCGGGCCTCCTGACTGCTGATTGTTTTGCTCGGTGACTTGTTCTATCCAGTATCTCAACCCCATGATATCACAAGTACAATCCCAAGGATTTTCTTGAAGGTCGATTTGAATTAGGGCTGAAAGCTGGTCGAGGACACCTTGCACAGGCAGGTAGGAGAAATGGTTGTTTCTCAGGTTGAGTCTAGTTAAGGTGGTGCCTCCAAAGACATTGTCCGGCAGGGACCTCAAAAGATTGTTGTTCAGAAAGAGTAGGTGAAGATTGCCCAATGCATCAAAGGTACGTGGCAGGATCTCTTTAATCACGTTATACTCTAAATAGAGATACTGTAAGCTGTGGAGCCCTTCAAACATGGAAGGATACAAGACCTCAAGGTAGTTACCATTGAGATAAAGTCTGCGTAAACTGGTGAGGTTAGAAAAGGCACCTTCTTGGATCACAGCAATCCTATTGTTTCCCAAATGCAACAGGTCCAATGAGGGATAGTCCAAGAGATCACTTTTATAGATCGTTTGCAAGTAATTGCTGGTCAAATAGAGTTTCTTTGGACTGGTGGGCTTGGGGTGGAGATCGGAGATGTTGCCAATTCTTTTCTCCTGGCAATTGACGTTCAACCCATTGTCAGAACTTTGCGAAGTGCAAGCACAAAGACTCGGGCAAGTCAGCGGCAGGGGGGATTTGGTTTGATAAACCATGATGGGCCCAAATATCTGCCTGTCTTTAGACACGGTGACCCGTGGGGTGGGTCGATTCCTTGTTTTGGGTGGGCGGCTGGCCTTGGGAGCCCTGGTGGCCCCAACAGCAGAATTAACTGTTGGGGGAAGTCTCTGGATGTGCGTGTCTGAGTGGGAAGGATATTTCTCCCTTGGGTTGGCATCGCCCATACTTTTTCGAGGGCAGAGGTCCTGCCTGGTGAGTTGTGTGACGTCTTTGCCGTGCAACCTGAAAGGGGTCTCGCATACAATCTCCCCAACAAAGACTGTGATGGTATCTAGCCATGCTTTGAGAGGCAGAAGGTCACAGGTACAGTTCCATGGATTCTCCTCCAGCTGAATTTCCATAATTCCGCCGATGTGCTCCAAGACTCCAGCAAAAGGCATCATTTTTAGCCGGTTCCCTCTAAGGTCCAGGTGGGTCAGGAGGACAAAGCGAAACACGTTGCTAGGAAGGGATAACAACAGGTTGTCGTTGAGGATCAGCACCTTCAGTTTGTTGAGTTTGCTGAAAGCCCCCGCCTCAATTGCAGTGATGTAGTTGTAGTCAGCCTGGAGATACTCCAGACTCTCTAAGCCTAGGAAGGTATCCTCCCGTAAGATCTCCAGTTTGTTGTTGTTGAGGTGCAGCCTCTTAAGAATCCGAAGGCCCAGGAAGGCCCCAGTTCGGATCTCCTCCATGTCGTTGTAGCCCAAGTGGAGCGTCACAGCATTGGAATAGTTGACAAATTCGTTGGGGTAGAGTCGGGCGAAGGCATTCCCATTGAGAAAGAGTTGATAGATCTTGGACGGGGGAGGCAGGAGGAGGCCAACCGTTGTAAATCCCTTGTTTTCACAATTAATATTCAGCACGTTCTCCTTCTCCTCACAAGGGCAACGGCTCTTGCTGCAAATGTCTTTGGCAGGTTTGCGGCTCTCCGTGGTCGGCGCGATCCCAGCTACTGTGAACACACTCAGCAGCCAAACCCCCTTCTGCATCTTTATGGAGCCTTGAGCCCACCTTCTGCGCCAAGAGTCAAGCCTTGAGGGAGATGGGGGAGGCAGAAAATAAGGCACATCAATCAAACAGCACCCAACAATCTGGAGGCAATGCAGCAATGCTGTGATACGGTCCTCAAGGCTCACCCTCACCCGGACTTTCAAGGATGCCTTTGGGGACCCCTCAAGAGGAAGGGAGCTCTGCCCTTTCCACCCCACCCTCTCTGTTCCTGGGTCCCCCCAGCAGACCTAGGATTGTTGGACAAGCTTGGGCTGTTCTTCAGGATTCTTCACCAAGCTGTCCTATTCTGTCTTGCCTCCCCCCCCTCAAAGAAAGATATATTGGGGGGAAGGAGAGAGAGAGGAAGGGGGTTTCAACCTGCTGAGAGCCAGCAGTCTTCTTCTCTCCCTTCCCGTCCCCTTCCCTTCTCCGGAGGGCCACATCTGGATGGGTGTTTTCTGACTCAACAGCCCTTCACTTTCGCAGCTCTTTCCCTCTTCTTCCCCGCCACTCACTCCCGCGCCATGGAAACTCTTTTGTGTGAGGGAGGAAGGAGCCTGGCTCAACTCTCGTCCCCTGTGGCTTCACCCCTGCCACCCCTCTGCCCGCCCCCATTGCCAGCGTAATCAAAGGATAGTATTTCCTTCTTCAAGCCCAGGGTTTCTACTTGGCCTAATTACGCCCAACGGCTCCCATCAAATAGTCCAGGGATGCCACCACCGTGTCTCTGTTGGGGAAGCCTTGTTCATCTTCCACTAGAAAAGCTGGACAAAAGGAAACTGAGAGAAGCACCCCCCCCACCCGTTGGAGGGTTCTCTTGAGCCTCCTCCCCATGACTTTGGGGAGGGGGTCTCTCATTCCACTGCTCTTTAATTTGCCCTGTTGGGAGACGGGATGGTGCTCTCCAGACATGCAAACAAACGCGCGAAGGCTTTTTTTGCAAACCGAACCACCAAATCTGTGGATTCCACAGAATCTACTCTCTTATTTCTTCATCCATCACCCCACCCCCCACCCCCTTCCCCATTAAAACCAAGGCTCGGTGGTAAAAATTGTGGAGGAGAGAAGGAACGAGGGAGGGGGTGGTGCTCTCCTCCTTTCCTTGGAAATCACGGGGGAGGGGTTGGTGGCACGGAAAACGAAGGTACCAAAAGTCCCCTCCACCCCCGCGGTGGCGCCTCCTGCTAGAAATCCCTCGACCTTCCCTAAGGATAGTTAAGGAGAGACGCGCTGGAGAAGGAAAATCTAAAGCAACTCAATCTTCCCTTCCCCTCCCTCCCCAAAATAGCCCACAAACCCTCCTCATCTCCGGGACTTCTGCACCCCAAATCTACTTTATACCCCGCCCGCCGACACTTTGCGGCACCCCCCCCCCAAAGGTGGGAGTCGGGTTGAAAGGAAACGAAGCCCCCAAAAGAACTCCCAGCAAGTGGAACCCTCCAGTTTAAGTCAACCCGGAGCGAGAGGACTAGGTGGAGAGCGAACGGGGACCCCCGCAGCCGCCCCCCCCCCGCACCCCGTCCTGCCTTCTACCTCCAAATTGTCAAGCTCAGAAACCGCCCCCCCTCCCTTGCAGAACCACCCGCGCCCGCAGAGCCCCCCGGCTCGTACCGCCCGCCGTTGCGGTACTCACTCATCCGGAGAAGCGCAACCTCTCAGTCTTGGCCCGGGCGCGCAGCCCCGAGGTCAGCATCTTCCGCGGCGGGGAGGGAGGCGAAGCCGAAGCAGCAGCAGCGGCAGCAGAAGCTCCAAAACCCGGGGCAGGCAGGCAGGCAGGCTGGCAGGCGGGCCGGCTTGCAAGCAAGCCAGGAAGGGCGGGCTGAGCTGGACTGGAGGCTGCGCCGCCTCCGCTTCCCCCCTGCGCGGAGAGGCGGGCGAGACTTTTTTGCAAAGCGCCCCGAGCGAGCGGGCAAACGCGCGCGCAAAGCAAGGCTGGCTGCAAAGTGTGGCGCAAGGGATGCGCGGGTGGGCGGAGGAGGAGGAGGAGGAGGAGGAGGAGGAGAGGAGGAGGAGGAGGAAGAGGCGCGCAGTCCTTCCGACAGGGGGGGAAGGAGGGCCAAGGCGCGGAGAGCGCAGCGGCCGCGCAGAGCTCCGCTCGCCCACTTCCTCCGCTCCGCCGGCGCCTCCGAACCTCTGAGTTACTTCGGCTGCCTGCGAGCAGGCTGGCCTCCTCGCGGGGAGCCAGCGCGGCTGACGTCACGCGTGGGGCCGGTCTTGCCCGGCCGTGGTGGGGGGGGGCAGGGGGGTTAGAGAGATGCGCGGGCNGGGGGACACACAGACTTCCAGCTGCTGAAGTGTGTGTGCCCTATTTTTGGGGGGTGGGTGGGGGTGGGGGCATGAATAAGGAAAGTGGGGCAATTTGCCCGGGTTGGGGTTATTTTTTTTGTGGGGAGGGGGAAACAACGCTGCTTGTGGAAGAGGAATGGTGAGATGAGGATGGGCGCGCTCCTCTCCGGAGTGGGGTGTGAGGCGGAGATGATTTTTTGCCCCCCGTCTCTCTCTCTTTTTTCCCCCTCCGGGAGAGGAGGAGAAGGGAGGGGGCATCTGGCTGGGAACGATGGGAGGTTCAGCTTAAGGTGTCTGGAGAGTATCAGGGGAGGGAGAGTCCGAGCTGGGGACCATGGGAGTTGTATCCCAGCCTGTTGGGGAATTGGCTCCTTGGTGCTCGCAAAGCTTGGAGGTTCTGTGGCAGAGCAAGCCCAGAGAGTAGCCAAGATCCACAGTTCAACCCCGAGCTACAAATATTCTTTCTATGTTGGAGCGTGCCAGGGGATGAGGAGCTGGGGATGATGGGAGTTTCAGCCCAGGGCATCTGGAGTGTGCAAAGGCAGCTGGGGGCTTGATGCGTTTTCAGCGTGAAGGAAATAAAAAGGCTAGGGATAATCTCAGGGCTGACTCCTTTAGAGAGGATGGATTTGCTCAAAGTGTAAGGAGGGGGGGGAGACTCAGGAATTGGAGTGTCCCTCCCCCCCCTCCTCCCACTTTTTTTTCCTGCAAAGCAGTCAAAGTTCACCATTAAAACTTATTTTGTCTGCCAGCTCAGCTGCTTACATTGGCTGGGAACCTGTTAAAAATAAATAGATAAAAAGGGGTAAATGAGCACAAGAGGCTGAAAGAACTAAAAAAAAAAGAGAGGGGGGGGCTGATTTTAAAATTCAACTTCCTGGGTGGGGTGGGGAGAGACAGGGAGCCTTTCCATAGATGCCGTACATGCCAGGTGCTTTTTCCACCTGCCTGTTCCAACCTTCCTCTTATTCTTCTGTTCCACTCCCCTCCCCATAATCTCGCCTGCCCCCTCCCCACCCTGGCTGAAATTATTTTGCTGCAAACTGGAAATGTTAAGTTCCAGGCGTTTGCTGGATCTTCTTCTTCATCAGAGAAACAGTCTCCATCCAAACAGCCCCCCCCCCTATCAATACCGTCCCACTGAATTCATTCTCACGCTCAGGGTGAGAGTGAATCACCCATTAAAAAAAAAAGCAGGTGATGTCTACATATAAGCCAGGACTAAACCTTTGAAGAAAATTCTACCGATGTGATCTGCAGTCTCTGTTGTAACCATCAGAATAATGTTCAGTTTCAGCTTTTGACGGCTACTT